GCTGGCTCGATGCTGGATGAGGTCTGTTCTAGTCTAAACACGAAGTCGCAAATATATAATTGTGCTACTGTGCTCCTCTATATAAAAAAAAAAAAAACAAAAAAAAAAAATGGGGGCACGAAGAAATACACGACGCTTCGACGAAGTGCCCTCTGGGAACTAGTTGGCCACTCAGTTTCGGTTTCGATTGAGCAGCTTCCTTTCATGCTATCACGCCGTGACCGAATGCGCCGCTTGAGTTTTCGATTATCTGACTTTTCACGAATGTACAATACATTCATTCTCGAACGAAACAAAACGAAAACTGGGGCAATTTCCTTGCACACAAATTACTATGATGTCTTCCTCGTGTCATCATATATCGCTCACTCAAATTTTACGCTGATAGGAAATTAAGTTTTCGCAAACGCTGAGGTCGGCTAGCTACGACAGAGGCTCTAACAAGCGTCGTCTACTCTTCGCTAAGCCTTTTTGGACGAGCTTTTACTGACGCCCAAGATCTGTGTCTGAACGGTGTGTTTGAAATTATCTCGGCATACTCAGCCAGGAAGAAAGCAAACATATAAATATTACGGCCATTAGCAACCGTCAAATGCGCTTTGAATAATTTCGTTCCTTTGGCACACCGCATAGAGGTTCACGCCCGTCCGACGCACTTCCGGCGAAAGGTGCGACATTCTTCACACAATTGCTCGACTTTGTGTGTGGGAATGTGCCTATATGATTGCAGAAAAATTTTATGTGCGTACGCGATGTTGAATATTAGTGGAATCCAAACGGGTGGGGACTTAGCTTCGTGCAGTGCTGCGGGTCAGTACAGATAAGAGATAAGATGTGTGTTCAAATTGAGCTTTTCAATGCGCCTCCAAGTTTTACCTCACGTACTTAGGCGTATTAAGAAAAAGAGTAGTTGCAAAAAATAATATTTAGTCTATGGACAAACTTCCTGACCAGCTGTAAAGGTGCGAGTTTGATGTATGCAAACTTATTGGTCGTTACAGCTTGTTGACTCGTGCACAAGCAAGATACCCGAGCTACGCAGCGTCGAGATTTCCAGCACTGGCTCGTTCACATATATCTCGAAACGCAAACAGAAAGGCTCGATAGTGTACAAAAATGCAACAAGCATGTGTGAAGACAAGCTATACGTCTCGGGCTTGTGCTATAGATTCGAGGTCTGGCCATTTAGGTTAGTTTAGAGACCAAAAATGATGCTCTCGTGACCAAAAAACGTGAGATCACGGCCATTAATAGTCCACGCTGCCGATCGAAACCGAAACCATGCCACTCTCCTCCCTGGCCAACTACTTTCCAAAGAGCAACGTGCGCCGTGTTGCACGCAGGGGTTTATGGAAGTAGTCCATAGAATCCCCTAGCAGTGGTAGCGAGAAGCAGATCTGGTTTTAATAAGCGCGTAAGAGTTAAATGTAGTGACCCTTTCTGGTTGAATATAGGGTGCACGTGATGTTTCGATTGTGATCATGCAGAAAGATGTAAGAAACGAATGTGCCGCCTGAACTGTGTCTTCCTCGGACAGACCACTCGGACCCGGAGTAGTTCTCCGCGCAGCCTTTTTCGGGGGAGTACGATCTGTAGTCACTCGCAACATTTCAGTTTCGTTATCAACGTTGCCGCGGGGGAATGAAGGAGTTTCGCTGTTTTTTTGTTTCGATTGCTGGGTGGGCTCTCTTGCTGTGCTTGCTTTCGTTCCTCTTGTCATGACCGACTGGCTCGAGCATACTGCGGCGCTGACATCGCTGCAGTTAATTTCAGGAGGTCTAAGAAAACGCAGTAGCAGCGAAATCAGCGACAGCGACGAAGATACCAGCTTAGGTCCAGCTCGAGTGACGACGAGGCAGCCGATCTCGGCTGCCTCGTCGTCACTCGTCCTCGTCTTTGCCGACTCATTCGCCTTGCCAGCGAAGAGGCCCAAGATATGGCGTTACGTCGAAGACGTTGTGCGCACCTATTCGGATGAAGAGCTAGGTATGTCGTTTGCTAGAAGACAATACGACAAATTCCCCTCAGATGGAACTCGCCTTCGGAGATGACGGTCGCTTTACGGCATACGTGTTTGGTATAGCTTAAAGGGAAGATGGGGCACTTCTACATTTGAGAAAAAACGCTTGAATTGCGTTCATTTGGCCTTTAGGATAACAGATATCAAAATTATATTTCAATGCGACGCGCCGGAGAGCCACAAGAGCAATTTCAAAATAGGGCTGAAGCCCCGCCCCCCTAGCCTTGGGCAGCCAAAAGAGCCGTCGATGACGTCACGGACAGCGACTGTCTTTCGCGTTTTTCTCGCGTTTAACAATACCTACGCGGCAAATGGTTTCGGTATTCGGGTTCATGGGGTAAAAATACACTAGAATTCACTTCTAACTCATTTTTTCCAAGAAGCTCCGTAGCTTCCCTTTAATAGACCCTTTGCAAAACGTACAGCGCCACGACGGCAGGAAATTTTGGGAACCGTCGGTACAGATCACGCGCACGCGCTTTCTCGTTGCGCCTCCGCGACTGCGCGCGCGTCCCGGCAGCTACCGCCAGCAGCCGTTGCAGCCATCCCGCCGAGTCGTACGTCGTTGCCGGCGTACCGTATCTGTGGCAGCGTAAAGGCATCGCGACAGGTGAACTCATTCCAATACGTTATTCGTCGGAACTTGCCTTCACGTATTGAAGTGTCACCAAATCCATCTAGTTTGCAGCGCAACCATGGCAAGTTTCGACCAGGTTCGACAAAGCGTTGGTGCAGCTGACGACAGAACCGGTACGAAGGAGAGGGATGAGAAAGTTGCAGCCGTCGGATCGTCGCTCGCCCAACCAGCGGCCTAACTCGGCTGCTCTGTTGCCGTGGTAACCTGTGCCTGCTCGCGTATGCCACGTGGAAGCCGGAGGAGGGGCGTACCGAGGACTCCCATTATTTGAAGCGCGGCGCGCGCGGGCTTTTGGGATTTTTGCAAAGGGTCTATTGCATCCTGCGGCTCGTATAAAAGTACTTGTAGTTCTCTTCATCGGGTTTATATAACTGTAAGGAAAAATAAATACTGCCTCAACGTCGGGGTCACTGTTAATAAAGTAGTAACAATCAACATTTTTGTCAAAGCATGAAGTTCCGATCAGAACTTCATGCTTTCAGCAAGATAGCAATGGGAACCGCAACAGTTCAAAAGCGAGGGCAGACGCTATGAAAGCGGTGGCAGCGCGTGCAACTGGGTGGATCGCTTTCTGAGGCCGATCGCTCAACGACCGCTTGCGCGGAGCGCTCGGCATCTGCCTGGGCGAAGGGCTGGATCGCGCATCCCCGCTTGGTCGCTGCAGCTGCAGCGCCAGAGTGAAGCCACCGATCGGCGATTTTGCATGTTGAAAAATCGCGTTTTTGGAGCGTTGCGGAGGCTGGCGGCAACATGCTGAAGACACGTTTTCTACTCGTTCGTAGTCATTCGTCGAAGAAGCTCTTTAAAACCCTGTGTAAGCCCTGAGACTTGTCGTTGAGAACATGTGGAAATTTTTACGGAAGCCCAGTGTCGCAGCAAAAATGCTCAACTCATCGAAAGCAAGTTTCGCCGCCACGATGCAACGCGCAGGTCACGAGTGACCCGCGCGTTGCATCATTGGACTTTTTTCATAATGCAACGTGCGGGACCCTTGTGACGTCACACGTGACGTCAATTGTGACGTCATTATAGGAAACGTCCCATAATGCAATGCGCGGGTCACGAATGCGACTGCACATTGCATTATAGGACGTTTCCCATGACTCAACGCGTAGTTACGCCGACGGCGACGTTGGCGTCGCCGGCCCGCGTTGGATCATGAGACGCTTCCCATAATGCAATGCGCGGGTCACAAATGAGACGGCGCGTTGCATTATGGGACGTTTCCCATAACCCAACGCGCGGTTACGCCGACGGCGATGTTGGCGTCGCCGTCGCCGACCGCGCGTTACATCATGGGACGCTTCCCATAATGCAACGCACGGGACCCTCGTGACGTCACACACGCCGTCATTATGAAACGTTTCCGATAATGCAACGCGCGGTTACGCCGACGGCGACTGTGACGGCGACGCCGCTCAAGCCGGAAACGGGCGCCTAAGAGCTGCTCTCTAAACAATTAATAGATGTAAACCAAATTAAATTTTCATTCCACAGCCATATTCGATCCCGTCTTTTTTAACAAAACTGAAATAAGCCTTTGTTAACTGGTTTAAGGATGACGCGGCGTTAATACTAGGCCAAGGATAATATTAGGTGTCACCTTTTAGCATATTGAAGACATGCCCAACCTAACGGTCATTTGTAACCATCATATAGTTTCCATATCAGCGAAAAAGCCATGTCGGTTACATATCAAAACTTGCATGGCTCGAATGGCCTGTGAAAGCAGCGAAAAAACGATGTCGGCCAGTCACCGAAAACTCAGTGGCTGAACTGGCCGGTGATAACAGAAAGAAAACGATGTCGGCCAGTCAGCGGAAACTCCATGGCTAGGCTGGCCAGTGACTACAGCAAGAAAACGATATCGGCCAGTCACCGGAAACTCCATGGCTAAACTGGCCGGTGACTACAGCAAGAAAACGATGTCGGCCAGTCACCGGAAACTCCATGGCTAGACTGGCCGGTGACTACAGCAAGAAAACGATGTCGGCCGGTATCGGGAACTTTCCGGCTGGTGCTGGCCAGTTTAGACAACGAGTCCCCGATATCGGCCGGCGTCGGTTTCTCACCGGCGTCCCTGGCCGGGATCCGCCGTACAGCTCCCGGTACTGGCCGACGTAATCCCAGTATCGGCCGACATGGTGTGCTACCTGGGTAGTGGAAGCTTGAGGTGTGTGCATTGCCTTAAAATAAGCTGTTGTTGGCCGCAGTTAGCAGTTGATTCGTAAAATCCCGATTTCTATAAATTTCTTAAAATTACGTGTTTCTTTTTTCGTTTTCCGTTTTGAGTTTCGGGGTGCTAGGCTACGGGAGGATGCGGTAGTAATAGCTTGCACTTACGATGTGACAAGGACGGTAATATCATGCTCTTTGTTGTGCCCATAAATCGATTTAGCTTGTTGCAGCGTGCCATCTGCGTCAACGTAAAGTTTTGAAGGGCAGCTCGAACAGTCCACGTCCTTGCCGTCAATTGTGTAGAAAACCGAAGCCGCCTGCAAACCAATATCAATCAAGTCAGTTAATTCAATGGCTCTAATAAACGAGATCAGATATCCAGTAGGCAAACACGCACGTCTTGTTCAACAGCAGTCAGCAGAAACTGGACCATGGGATCTTTCGTGTCTTCATAGCGAATGTTTACCTGCAAAGTTAGAAATATGTTGGAAAAGTTAAAAATGATAATTTTAACAAAGATGAAACCATGCCCTACGCATTTTTGCCGAAGTCAGGTAAAAAGAAAACAATAACATTTCGCGAAATACCAGCACGTAGTCAGAAAGTATGCCACCCTACTTTAATTCTAAACTTGCTCTTCTTCAAAAATTGTCTTTTCAAACATAAGTCAACATTACTTTTTAGAATTCATATGCGGTACTCTAAACTAATGCCGCAAAAACAATTAATTAAAAAAGATCATTGCTAGAACAGTCTCACTTTTTATTTATCTTTGAAAAACATATTTATAACATTGCTTGGTACCTAAACTACACATTATTTTTTTATGAAAAGACTAAGAATGCAGACGACCGATTGGTAGCTAGTGCAAAAAACAAAAAAAGGTTTTAGTCGAAGCAACAGACACAGAAGGAATTCTTAGTTGATAAACGACATGATTATGTTTTTCTGTTTGAAAAGAAACCATGTCTGACAAGTTTGAATTATGACTGACAGAAGTTATTCCCTCTTTGGCGAAGTACAGAAACATAAAACGACCTTTATTTCGCGCGTTTTAAACCAGTGAGTAGCATATATTTATTGCAATTTCACTGAAACGTTTGACGTACAGGCCCAAAATAAAAACAAATCCGAACTACTTAATGTTTTAGTATGACAATTATTTCACCCTAATTATCCGTTTGAAGCTATTGAAAGAGGAATTATTGATGCTCTGAAAAATATCTTACCAACTGCATACATATTGCCAAATACTCTATTAGTTCGCTTTTGCCTTTGAAGTGGGACCAGTAATAAGAATCGACCACAATGTTTAGTTCCGCTTCAAAAACGCTTTCACTGTCCTTTTTCATTAGGTCAGCTGCAACAAGAAACATCACAAGAGTGAAGGTATAGTAAGAGGTAAAGCATGACATGAAATTCAACGCGACCGAGGACTCAATCGGATCATCCTCGAAATGCGAAAGCAAGCTGTCAAAAAAAAAAAAAAAAAAGTTTTATTTACAGTGCTTTTGCTGATTTCTTGGTCACACACGCTACATCTTGCTCGACCGTTCAAAGTTGCTTTATTGAGAAGAATTATTGCAAGGAGAGAGTGAAGGGCGTCTTCCTGCTAGGCTGAACTAAAAGGGCAGGAGCGGTGATTGTTTGCTCCTTAAAGCGGTAGGGAGCGGTTTCAGGCCTAATGCCTCATCTGCCCCTTTCGCCATTGTATAAACTTAAGTTGGCAGCACCGAAAAAACGGAAAAAATCAGTTATTTGTTAAAAAACTGAGTTCTCGATAAACGAAGTAGGCAAATATATAACAAAAATAAGGAGTCATATGTTATAATTTACGGTCTCTATAAAGTGGAATAGAAAATTTCCTTCACTTGCTGATAGAATGTTTCTTCATCTGGTTATTCTTTTTTTTTTTTTTTGTATGCCCTCTGAAAAAGCTTTATGGTGCGGCAAACTCCCCAGTGAATGGAAGACTGTGGACGTTATACATGTGCATAAGGCGGCTTTAGGAATACAGGTCAGGACTACTCTCCTTAGTGCGTATTAAACATTTATGGGGCACAAATTTTATAACAGTTTAATGAATCAGGTGAACCTGAATAACTTTTTGAACCTCTATCAACATGGTTTTAGAAGTGGTCATCTTGTGATTCCAAACTAATTGAGTATCATCATAAAGTTGTCTCCTCTTACGACACGGGTACCTGTTGGTTGTCTTTCTTTTGAATCCGGGAAAGCATTCTATATTCTCGCGCCAGTTTATTTTACATAATTATCAATGCTTGACATTCAGAGAAATACAGAGGCTGTTCCTAAAAAAAGTACACATCCCCCCTCCCCCCCCCCCCCCCCCAAAAAAAAAAAAAAAAAAGAAGAAGAAAAAGTCGTATTGGGCTTTGACAAAGGGCCTATCTGGGAAAATAATCATGCGTACTACAATTAGCTTATGAATTTCTTTCGAGTAATTATCTTTTTAATTCGGTAAGTTTAAAGGAATGGTTTCAACAAGAACTTTGCTGCGCATCAACAAACACCATTGAATAAACTACTTTGTGAATGACAAATGATGAGGTGGTGAAAACTGACACAAACTAAACGTTTAATTAGGCGAACTTGTGCCCAAAACAAAAAGGAATCTAGATAACAACAGAGCGTCGCGGGCGCCGAAGTCGGCTTAACAGCAGGATCGAACGCTGGGGCGATACCGACTCCGGATCGCCACGCGGAGCATCTTAGTACCCGCGTGGGTTTCTGGAACGTTCGGCGTGGAACGTTCGGCGCGTAGAAAATTCCTAACCCGATTCGACGAGGAGGTTCTCGAACTTGCGAGAACGCCCAGTAGATAGAAAAAATGAAAGAACATTCCGCTCCCTGGAATTGGACCTGAATCCTCTGCGCAACAGCTAAGCACAGTAACCATTCCGCAACGCACGAGCTCTCTCGACGGCGTGCGTGGCATTACTCCCCCCTTTAGAAAGAGCATCGCCTCGATGAAACTTGGCGGGGAATGGAGCCGAAAAATAAACAAAAATTATGGCAAACTACGGAGCTTGTAAAACACAGTCCTATATAGAAGAGCGTAGTACAAAAACGCAGTTCACGGTCCTATCGATTGTAGTACGGCTTGAAGCGCACGAAGTGGACGACTTCCGGTCGTGGAGTGTGGCGTGATGAAGCTCGTGTTCCGTCGGGCTTCACCTCGTAGTTCAGATCCCCGAGTCGGCGAAGCACTTTGTAGGGTCCGAAGTAGTGCTTCGAAAGTTTCATGCTTAGACCGCGTTGTCGTATCGGGGTCCAGACCCACACACTGTCTCCGGGCTTGAAGCGAACGTCAATCCGACGAAGGTTGTACCGGGTGGCGTCGACGCAGTGTTTCTCTGAAATTCGGACTCGGGCGAGCTGGCGAACTTCTTCAGCTGGTTGAGCCATTACTTTTCGTGGGGCAGCTCATGACTGTTCTCACTCGTGCGATGGTCTCACCCCCGTTCTTGCTCACCATATCCCTGCCACTTCAGGACTCAGTTGTTTTTCTCTTCTGATAAAGTATGTTTCATAATTAACAATATTAAATTTTTCAGAAATGTAACATCACAATTCTCTGAAGCTCTTCGCCATATAAAGCATCTCAATGGCTGAAGGAAGACCCCTTGCTGGGAAAATACAACTTAAAACGCGTTGATTGCGGTGGATATATTTTTCCGCGTTCAAATATTTTCGGGTGTATTCGACACCATCCTGAAGCGTATGGGTCAATGCAAAAATTATTTCGAGTGATTGATGACACGTAAGGCGTTAAGACTTAATGATTCTGCCTCTAAAATACAAGTATAGCTAACAATCTAACAGCAGTTTCAAGCAGCAAATGAATGTGCGAGGTGCGACGCCATTTGCGAAAAAACAGGCCACTCTCAGAATCAACAAATACAAGTTGTTACATTTTGCAACTATTTCTTCGATAGTTTCCTTCGACCACCAAAACAACATAGAGCACAGACGTGTTATTATAGAAATTATACCTTTGAATGAATTGGCATCTTCGGCACGCTGATCAACCTGATATATCTTATGCGGAATAAGCCCGTCATTTGATCGAGCACTGATGTGCAGAGGCGTGATTCTTAGTCTGTTGCTTAAGATTCCTCTCTGGAAAAAAAAAAAAAGTGTACAGTGCGTGAACGGTTAACAAAAAAAAAAAAAAAATAACTGTTGGGTCTTACACTGATCACAATATCCAAGAGACATGACTAGGCCGTAGGGCCGTACACGCTTTTGTTGTAACCGAAAACATCGACAAAAATTTGCTGGTCTGAAAAACACAAAAAATAGCTAAAACCAAAAAAAAAAAAAAAAATCAGGAAGATTTTGTCTCTAAAGCTAGAACTGCTTTTTAAAAGCGCCTCCATTCGAGATATTTTCAGTTATCTTTTAAACCGATAATTACCGTTCTTAGCGTCCGTCCAAAACAATACCCAAAAATCACCAATAAAAAAAATAAAAAAATTATTGATTTTTGAATAAATACGAACCGGGAAAGCTTTCTGTTTTTGGATTAGACACAACACAATATATAAGAAAGTCTACGGTAATCTTGTTTTGTCTTCTGCTTATCTCATCTACAACAATATTCAATACCACGCTCTAAAAAAAAAAAAAAAAAAAAACAGAATTTATTTTTATTAAACTCCGTAGAGAAGCCGTTCCGCTGCGGTTTTTGGGAGAGGTCACTCATGGCTACTTTATAATCTCGGCGGATTAACAAGGCTAGATTACAGCCACTGTAGCTAGATGTAACGTCCACGTTCGTTCTGAATTACTGGTCGAAATTGACCCGACTAAAGTTAGTTTACGCACCTTAATGTGCTTGCCACGTTATAAATTTTGGTTTCAACTATACAATCAATCAAAACCAATCAATCAGTGTTTATTTCACCTTGTGCTAACCAACAGTTCGAAAACCTACTGGGTCGAGCACAGGCACTTAAAATACACACACAATAAAGAGTTCTGTAAAACTATGCAAGTACACAAGCATGTATATATGCCAATTAAAACCCATGCATCAAAATGATCGTTCTCCAAAAGATACGTTTATACTAAAAATATAGACGTCAGTAAAACATGTTGGATACGCGAAACCGGTGATGTGTTTCGAATGCTGTCTGGGTAAAATGATTTCTAGACATTGTTCTAAGTGGAATGCGAAAGTGAACAGAGGTGAGGAGAGTAGGGCTGTCAATTACATCACGAATTAGCCGAACTGAACAGCCGGAACAGACCTTTTACATAAGCTGCAGAATGCTAATTTTACTAAAATCGAATTATTTTCCCAAAAACACTCTTTTCTAAAATATCTCTCGTGAGTGATGCGCACAAATCGCTTTTGAACATGGTCTATATACTTTCACCTGCTGTTATAAACATGGAGTTCCACACGACAGATGCAAATCCTAGTTTCGAACACACATGGCTACTGTATATACTCAAAAGACAGTGATGAGGGATAAATTCTCTAGTTAAGCGAGACATTATTCCCAGCGTACGTAATGACTTGCTTATAATGGACTTTACATGAGAGAGAAAAAAAAGGTGGTCGTCCACAAGAACACTTAGGTCTCGCGTCCGCGTGGTCCGATAGATACTTTCATTTTCCAGAAAATATACATCGGATAAATTGTTGCGCTTTCTCGACAGCGACATGACTTTTGTTTTGCGGGATTTAAGAAAAGATTTTAGGACTGTACCCTTCTAACACTGCACGAAGATCGTCCTGCAGCAAAGTACAGCCAGTGATTGAAATGACCTGCCGAAACAACTGCACGCCATCTGCGTGCAGTTGTTTCGGCAGCTGCACGCCATCTGCAAAAACATTATACCATAGGTAATGTTTTTGCTACGATGTTTTCTTTTGAAACACTGTAACAAAATTACAACTTCAGCCGCGTCTTTCTAATGAAGGGTACATTATTTTTGCTCGCTCACTTTTAAACACAACGCGGGGGAGTGGAGAATGCTGCTTACCACTTCAACTGCGCCGTTCTTATCTTCTACCTTGACTGACGCCATTCGAATTCTGTCGTGAAACATGTTTGCTTCAAGTTTTCTTCCGTCCATCTGTCAAGAACAAACAATGAATCAAACAGAGCGATACGCTCGCCTTGTACAGGATGCAAAATGAATAGAGGTGATCCAGAGCTGCGACAATCATTAAACAGATACCTCGGAAGGAAATAAAAAATTTAACAGTGATGAAGAAAGTCAAATTTAAAAATTCACACCGCCATGTAGCTTTCGTCTTTTTTGTTTTGTGTGCGTTTTGATTATAGGGCGAAGACGTGAGGGAGGGGAGGATGTCAGAGCACACTAGGTCGTTAGAGCGCCGATAGGCGCAGTCAGATCACAGAGTGCGTCGTCTGCTCGCTGCACCTACCGGGACATGGCGCCTGAAGTTAATAGAGTCGCCAACCTGGTCGTCTGCGAACACCCTCGACGCTTATTGGAAAGTTTTGTAATCTCGTATTTTACAGAACGAGAACTACTCCTTGACATTTCACACGGTAGAAGTGACCTGCTCAGTGCAGAATCGGCAAAAATGTTTAGACTCCGTGTCACTAGTTGTGTGCAGTGAAGGCAATCTCAACGCGAGGCGAAGAGAGGAAGGGCGAGCACTAGGAAGGCGGGACGGAAGAAGAGGGCAATGGAGGGTGATGGGCGAAAGGCAGAGCTCTAGGAACGTCCCCAGCTTTCCTAGTGCTTGCCCTTTCTCCCCTCGTTTGGCTCTGCCTTCGCCTGTACTGCACGTAACTAGTGACACGGAGTATAGGTGTTGACTTTCCTGGCTCCTTTTACGGCGTTGGATCCGGTTGTGTCACATTAGGAAAAGATTTTTTTAAATCTTTTTCTATGTAGACATTTGTTTTAGAAAAGCCGTAAACGAGCTACACTACACTCTCAGAAAAAAAGGAGCCAAATGAGCAAAAAAGGGTTCTTTTCGCTAAACAAGAACCGATTTCGGGGAAGATCCTTTAGAAGCGTGCTTTCTCAACCAAAAGCACCCCTCGCAAAGTAAAAAAAGAAATGCAGAGCTAGTTTCCGGCCTGGAGAGAGCGAAAAGGGTTCTTGTTGCAGCCAGGAAAGAGATAAAGCGATCTTCGGAAAAAGGAGGTCACTTAAGTCTTCTACCGGATAGAGGGACACAATGACCAGGCTCGAAAGGCGAGGGCACGCGAGAAATTGGGTGCGCCATTCTGTGGAAACAAAGCTGCCCGTGCGAGCTGTCAAGTCCTTGAAAGCTTAGAGAGGTGGAATGTCGTAGTTATTTACCAAGTCGCATTGTGTTGTTTACCACACCGAGATAATCTTCGCCTCGGACCACAGATGAAACAGGCTTCGATGCCTTTGACTCCCGGGCCACCTGCTTCAGCGGTTTGAACACTGGCGTTCGTTTGCAAGCGTAACTGCTCGCCGTGTTTTATTTAGTAAGAAATGTTAGTATAAAGCTACTCTTAGGTACTCATTTGTATAAACCAAACGGGTCATTGAATTAAAGTTTATTTGAAGAAATCTGTACCTCCGGAAATCGATTGTGTAGTTTATTTCCCCCAACCCCCAAACAATGCATACAAATTTTCAAAGGTGCAAAACTTCGATGAATGAGCAACACACACAAAAAAGTGCATGTTGCGATGAATGAGTGATACGGTGATTAAGCGGCGTCGTGTTTTTTTTTGTAACAAAAGCTATTTTTTAACTTGCTTTCGTGTTTAAACAATATACGTATAACTGCGCGTGTGAATGAAAAAAAAAATAGAACAGAGGAACGTTTTTTGGTTTTTTTGTTTTAGTATAGAATGCAGTTGTCCTAGCTTGTGGTCATGAGTCATGACACCACCCGTCTCCCAAAACGGCGCCTCTGATTGTTTCGCGGCACGCGTCGAGCCGCACAAATAGAGTTGGGACCCATCCGCGAGGGGCATCAAAAATCCTGCTGCGCGGAAGGTTCAAGTGATGTGTTGCAGTCATCTTTATCTTCAAAAATAAATCAGTCTGTAAATGGTGGTCTTTCGATTTCAAGGAGCAGTTATGTCTAGAAGGATACCCCGAAATAATCCCATAGGCATATTCTATAAGTGCGTTTTGAGTGAAGCAAAACTAAACTTCGATATGCTGTGCGTTCAAATTTATGTGCAGTGTAAGAAATGAGTGCTCCGTCCGCCGTTGAACCCCGCTCGCTACTTTGAGGTCGCCCACCAAGAGTTAGGAGAATGGGATGGCATGAGGAAAAAACAACACAGAAACGTGGTCGTTGCTGTTCTCGTAGTTTTCGCGAGCAATATGGCATGATAGGATGCAGAACAAATGGCCTCGGACGAAATGGCCCTGGACGAAACGGCCCCGGACAAAATGGTCCCAAGTGCAATCCCGGAGAGAATGGTCCCAAGTGATTTTTAGACACTCATCTTTTAATAAGGTGCTACTCTGAAGTTCTGTTAAGTACATTCAATGCTCTTATAATGCAACTTTTGTAGAGACTATAAAAAAAAAGAAGCTCAATATAGACGCGACAATGTTGGAGAAACACACACACAGGGCAGGCACCTGTCTCGTGCGTGTTTTTCTTCGACTTTGTATCGTTTATTTTGCATTCTTTTTCATTATGCCGATCAACCAACTAGCCCAACAATCTATTTTACTGTTTGATACGACTCTTTCCGATCTCCCGCTCGAAGCTTTAAATTGATGCCGTACAGTTACATTTTGTGAACTTGATGTTTTACTTTAAAGGAGTTCCCTCTTCTAGCTCTGTTGAAAAGAGCTACAAGAAGACGTTTTGAGTGAAGCCAAACGTAGCACACATTTACAACTAGTTTCTTTGTGTAATGAAATGTTTATTTCACAAAAAAATGTATTGCATTATACGAATATTGATCTTTTTATATGTTGGGATTGTACCAATTAAAGCTAATAAAAATAAGGAGCGAGAAAAAATACGAAAAAAATTTATTTGAACCATTTTGTCCGAGTTTTCTATTCGAAAAATTTTGTCCGGGGCCATTTTTCCGGTTTTTGGGTTGGTTCTATGTTTTCGATTCCCATTTCTAGTGTAAAAGGGATAAGCGCCGCCTGCACGCCCAGCATTTCCGTGACGTGGCGCTTAACTGAGCGAATATTTGTTCAGAAATGGCAATCGACGGTTCGGAGGTGGCTCCGATTGGAAGAAAAATTCTTTGTCAGCGACATCAATTCGCTCTCTCTGATTGATTTATTATCACTTCTCCTTCGAGTTCCAAAATAGGCTCGATTATCATTCAATCTTGTTTCCAAGCCCTCTATTTTGATAAATTCCTATAAAAAACACGTCACTGACCGGACACTGAATCATCGAATCTAGGTGCGTTGTCGTACTGCCGGCACAAAAGTCGCTCAGCCACCAAATAGGCCAACACGCGTTGCTCAACACAGTGTGTTGATTGTTTCCGTTGGCGGAAGGTGTCACGCCGAATCGAGAATTTCGCTCTTGTTTATTTTGTTTTTATTTTTGGCAAGAGAGTGAACTGCCAACAATTTTACCGGCGGCTGACGGACATGCTTGGTGACGTGATCGCCGTGTTTCCTGGCAGACAAGGACGGAAAAGCGATGACATCTGCATATTATCTTCGCCAGCGAACCATGGTTCAGTCAGCTCAACGGCACCCCAGAACATAAGCCGTAATGTGTTCAAAAGCGACGTTTCGGGGGCTAATCTGCTCACCACTAGGCTGACAGTTCGTTGAGAACGTCATGCTCGTTTGACCAGTGAACCTTCTGCCTTGCACCATGTGATCACAACCGCAGAGAAAGGTGTCAGGTGATAAAAACCAGGCGACTAATTGGTCCGGCAAGCACGTAGCTTCCACCGCGCTGTCAGCTTAGCGGTGAACAGGAATGGGTCGCTGAAGGTCACTGGAGACAACAGGATCTAGTTGTTGTTGCTTTGTCCGTTTTTTTATTTTTCCGTGTCTCCGGTTTACGATGGAAGTTCTTCACCAGCTCGCCTGTGCTTTTACCCTTTCTTCGGTAGGATCTAGTTTCGTTGCTCGAGGGAGTGCCACACTCGCTCGTACGAGTGGCGGATCGGAACAATGTTTGACCTCCTCTCCCTTTGGGTTTGAAGCTCTAGAAGAGGAAAGCTCTTAGCCATCACTTGCAACATGTCAGCGGACATGAGCACATGGACGATTGGAGACGTCTGCTGGTGGCTTTTTGAAAACGAACTGCAATCGGCCTGTTCATCATTTCAAGGTAAAACTTCTTCTGATCAGGCAATATTTATAATTTATCTTGAAAATTGCTATAAGTACAGTAGTGCTCAAAATGGCCGGAAATTGTTTGATGCATAGGCAGAATAAGTAGGACAGGGGGCGGCTTCTTATTAATTAAGCTACTTGTCGTTTGAAATTTGTTTTTATGCTATTTTAACTTGGAGTTGTCCAAACAAGCACGTTGCAAAAAAAAAAAAACATTATTTTACAGTCTTGTATGTTGAACTACACAAGAAAAAAAACGTTTTTGAAGCGAACATTGATTTCATTACTACAATACTGACTATATATAATATGACAAAATGCTGAGTTCAAGCTTTCCGCCAGAAAGATCTCAAGAACAGAACTTCGAATTTACAGCGCGAATGAAATGAGCAATGATATCTCTTCGTAAATGTAACAACGTATGTTACCGGGCTTTAATTAGCTAATGTATCCGTATTTATGGCCCCAATAAACGTGAGCGAATAGGTGCTGTAAACGTTTTTGTTTTTGACCGGCCAGGGACATGGCACTCTGAGAGCCAATCACTGCAATTTACGGCACCGCTCAACTAATGAGGATGCCGAACATTTGGTTAGACCCAAAGGTGCTGTCTGCGACATCAGGGAATGCAAAACGTCCCGCTTGCTTTGCTTAATGTAACAGCGCAGATTGCATTTCTTGGTCTAAACGTATGTTCCGCGTCGTCATTCGCTGAGAGGACTTCGCAGGTTGCAACGATTGGCTCTCGGAGTGTTGTGCGGAACTCGACAGGCGCGAACTTTTTGTGCATTTTGTGTTTGCACAAATGTGGATGTATGTTTGATAAA